GAAACGAACGTGCAGGAAAAAAAATGAATAATTATAATTAATAAAAATTACTTAATTACATTACTGTCCTTATTAATTTATTTATATTTAATATAAGTTAATTTATTAATTAAAAAAATTTAAGGTTATTGGATTGTTCTCGCGTTCTCATAAATCACAAGAGTTCTCGTTTAAACCTCCACCTATATATATATATATATATATATATATATATAATATATATATATATATATATTATAATGTTATAATATATATAAACAGATTATACATAAGTTATACATTAAAACAGAATGTTTATGCATAAAAATATAATATGATTACATTATACAAAATATGGATACAATATACCAAAACAGAACTTTTACACATATAAGAACGAACTTTTACACATATAAGAACATGCAGCAAAACAACATATATACAATATATTACCGGTTTACGTTGTTTGTTTATTTCTTAATAGTTTTATTAAGACTGACTCTTGTTTGGCAAAAAAAAAAGTCTGCCTCTTAATAGTTCTAAAATCTTCTGAATGATTTTGTATCCTGGGACTCCTTTAACCATTAAGAGCCCTAATTTCATTGTAAACAATTATCAAACAATTATATTTCATTTTGCACTATATCATGAGAGCCTCTTAATCATTTTGACCACTTAATGATTCTACACAAAACCATTCAGCAACTGCCAAACAGCTCCGAAGCAAACCAAAAAAGGTACTAGCAACCAATTTAAACCCTAAATCCCCCAAAAATTGGTTTTACTAAAAAATATATGTTTTAGAGTTGTGGAATTGCATATTTGTTCATAATTTTGTTTTAGAGTTGTCCAATTACCAAAATGCATTTTTAGTCAAAATTTGCACCAAATCTTTACATCCATTTTTTGTCAAAATTCTGTTTTAAAGAAATCAATTTTCAGATCTGTTTTACCACGTCATACCTGACGGAGTTTGTGTTATAGCACCTTCCTTCCCATCACAATGTAAGGAATGATATTTGCAAGCTTTATTTAGATTGTATCGATTTCTTCGTTTACAGGTTTCATTGCAAGTACTGTAATGAAACCCGTTTGCAAGCTTCAACGTAAGGGTTTAGGGCAACATTTTGTATCTTAAAGCATTTGATAGTAAAATGTCAGATGAAAGAAACTCGTGCCATATTGAATGAATACGTATTTAGTTGGCAACAGATTTACAATATATAAAAAATAAATGGATGCTTGTTATATTAAGTGAAACTTCGTTAAATTAAATAAGAACTAAATCAGACTTTGTTATATCGTCTTACCATGTAGATACATGAGAAACTACCGATAATTTTCTTAAATTTGTTTGGTCCATTTTGTCCAAAGTTTGACTTTTTATCGCAGAAACTTGCTATATGTATGTATATACATATACATACATATATGTATGTACGTGTATATATATGTATATATGTATGTGTATATATATGTATATATGTATGTGTATATATGTATATATATATATATGTGTATATATGTATATATATATATGTGTGTATATATATATATATGTGTGTGTATATATATATATAGGGTATATTTCTTTTACAACCTTGTTTATTTGTATGTATATATGTATGAAGTAGATCTATTTGTATACTCTTTCAAGAACTTGGTGATTGAGCAAAGTCAAAGTGAGAGTCAAAAGTCAACCACAACTTGGTCTTTTTTCTCTATGTTTAATTTTCTCTTAATCTCTATCGATTTATGATGAATGTGTATATATGTATGTATGTATGTATCCAAATTTACGGAAGAAACTCGCCGGAAACACAGGTGTGATTCGAGCGATGGCCTCACCCCGAGAAATTTTCGATCTATCGGGACCTCTGCACCTCTTAACTTCTTTCAATTGGTAGCCATCTCGATTCTTTGACATATTTGCTTCGATTTATTCCGTAACTGCTTC